AGGGCTGGCAAGTAACTTGCTGCCTAATCAAGCCTTAACTGTGTTATTAGGCGAACTTGGTTTGGGGTTTTTTCCTCCTGCAGAAGAACAGTAAGTGAATGAGGCTTTTGCTCCTTGGGCTCCCAGCAGGCATTTTATCAAGCAGTCTGTTTCCCTTGTTAGGAAATTCATCACGTAATGTCTTATCCTGAAGAGTGATCAGAGTTATTTGTCAACTGAGTTATGAAACTGTCCAATTATGAACAGGGGGAAAAATTCCTCCAAACAAACTGCTCCTTATGTAACCGTATTTCATTGTCTGGCACGTGGAGCTGGTGAGTGGCTCTTAAGCAGCATCTCCAGCACAGAACTCGCAGGGAGGCGTGAAGCGAGCTAGTGGGGAGTTTGGTGCAGGAATTTACACGACCAGCACAGACATGTGAGTTACATCCAGGGCAGCCACAGGGAGTTTTATTAATCCACCTCACTAGTCCTGGCCTTGTACGTTTATCTAGTTCCTTTCAGCTGGAAGGAGCCCAAACTGCTTCGGGGGGGTGTATCATGAAGCCATCTCTGGAGCTGTTCTGAGCTACCACCATGCAGTGCGGTTTTTAAGTGAAGACTGACTTTCCCAAATGAAGCTTTGGGGAGAATTTAGCCCAGAACTCCCACCATTACTCTTGTTGAGGTGGCTATGGCTTCTTTGATGACCACAGAGGGTTGTATCTCACTGGAAAGATGGTCCCTTGCCCAGCACCAGTGCTGAGTCACTAGCAGCACATTCTACAGCTCTCTCCGTTTTCTTTGGAGGCCTCCCAGCCAAGTACTGAGCAGGCCCTGTCCTGCTTAGCCGAGGAGATTTAACAAAGCTGTGTTTTCCTCTGTGAATCACACACCTGAGAACGAGCTGTACTCTGGGAAATGAAGCTATCGGACTAAGAGTTTGCTTCCACCAGAATTGCTCCTTAAGGATTTCACATGTCACATGGAGGACCCTTGGTCCATGACCACTTCTAGGCATCCTCCAATGGCTTGATGGAGGTCACCGAGTCAGTGGCTGTAGTTTGGGGCTTTTCCCCATGGAATGTTGAATGCCCGATTTAAATAACGGAGTTGTTGGCCTGTGTTCAGACTCTGGGGCTTTCCCTTTGGTGTGCCTGGGAACCCTAAGGAAAAAGAGAATAACGGTATCTAGCCTGTTTGCTGAAGAGGGCGGCTGCTTACAGCTTGTCTCAGTGTTCTGAGCAGGGAGGTGCAGTCAGGATGGTTGTGTCCATTAGAACAGTACCTGTGAGAACACAGGCCGGGGCCACTGGCCTTCTGATCCCCACCCCCTTGTAGAGCCCACCTTGTCCTCTGTGCGTCTTTGCCTGAGATGTTCCCATGAAAACCCCTGAAACACACAAGTCAGTGGCTACTCACTGTCCTACTGTCTCGGGTGGGCACCGAGTGGCATTTCTCCTCCGGTGGGGCGAGTGGGCGATTTCCTGTTTGCTTTCCCTGACTCAGAAGGGCTTACTCCAGGACAGGGGCAATGCAGAGGGTTTGAGAGAGGAGGTTGAGGCAGATGTGGGCAGGGACACCATTCCAGGTGGGGGGCGAAGCAGGAGGGAGGGGGGGAAGCCATGTGAGCTTGTGGTTCAGCCCGCTCTGCCATCCCAGCAAGAGCCCACCCCACCCCACCCCACCCCACCCCCGCGCAGCCCAAAGCGTAAATTGAAAAGACAAGCAGGAAGGTCTTCCGGCAGCCTCTGCTCCCCAGCCTGGGAGCGGCTTCCCCAGCCAGCTCAGCCCTGCCTCGTCCTGGGCTGACGGGGCTGCCCCAGCGGCACTGGGACAGGCCCATGCGACTGGCTCAGGTGCGGGCTGGTGCGTGACCTCACCCTGCAGCCCAGAGCGGGAGACGGAGACTCATTCCCAGAACCAGCCTAGCTCTCAGTTGGGACACGGAACCCTTTGCCCATAGGTCACCAGTTCAAATCCAGCCCCAGGCAAGTCCTTCCCAGCTGTTAGCTGGCCTGTGTGCAATGAGTTGCTGGGTCTCAGCCCACTTCTTAATGGACAGGTGTCTGCATCCCTATAGCCACCACCACTGCTGGCACCAGTGGGGCCCTGGTCTCACTCTCAACCGTGGGGCCCAAGACTGAACCAGCCAGGGAGACCAAATGACCCTCTTGCCCCCGGACGGGGCTCCCTCCTGCTGTGGCTGAGGTTGCTGGAGGGGCAGTGTGAGTAAAGTTTGCCCTGCTGCTGCAGCCCTCCCTGTGTGTGGTTAGAGGGATGAGTGTGGACACATCTACCTTGGCTGGGGGGACAGTGCATTCGTTGACTGCTGCGACGGGGGAGCGAATGACACTTCTGCCATAGCCCAGCTGTGCCGCCCCTGCGCGATGCTCCTCCCAGCAGCAGGGTGGGAATGTTCCCAGCGCCGCTGGCTTGCACAGTAGCAACCCTCATGCTGGGAGCGGCAGGTGGGGAGGAAGCTGAGAGTCCAGTGTCTATAGACAGCAAATGCCTCCACCCAGGGGCGACCCTGACCCAGCAGCACTTGCTGCCACTCCAGGAAAAAGCAATTAAAACGCTCCAGCACTTCCTTCCCCACCGGCCTGTTTCCAGCACAAGGAGGCAGCTGCCAGACACACGGCCAGGTGCTGGCAGGGCGAAATTGCCACAGGGCCTTTGTGCTGCTGGTCAGACTGACGCAGCTCCCAGCAGCTTCCTGCGGGCAGAGGGGCACTTGTCCTTCCAAGCGTCCTTCCCTCTGTGGCCGGGCCCAATGGCTGTAGCAAGGGGCGGGCAGTGAGCACTCGAAGGGGCAGCAGAGGCAGCTACTGTCCAGGCCAGCGCCCGCTGTTCAGGCCGGGCTAAGGCAGCGGGGTCAGAGTTTCAGGGAGCAGCCCCTCCCCCACTCCCTGCACTGTCTCTGTGGGGAGGGGGACTTGTTTGCTCTCTCAGGGACTCTAACCTGGGGTTCTGTCTCCTGTGTGTGCCCCAATAGGACGAGACACACGGTCTGAGGCCTGGGGCTGCGCACAGCATCACTCTTTCCTGCAGTTACATTTGGAGGGGGCTTTGCACCCCCATGGAGGAGGTTCTTGTGGACAGAGGGAGAAGCCAGTTAGGCTGCTGTAGGCGTGAAGGAATGGTGACACCTTGAAGGGACAGGTTGGAGCCTATGGCTAAAAGGGAGAGTACAGGGGGTCATACTGAAAGGTGAACTGTCAGGCTGGAGAAAGTTTATTAGTGGAGTTCCTCAAGGATCAGTCTTGGGACCAATCGTATTTAACATTTTCATTGGCATGACCTTGGCACAAAAAGTGAGAGTGCGCTAATAAAATTTGCAGATGACACCAAGTTGGGAGGTATTGCCAATATGGAGGAGGACCGGAATATTGTACAAGAAGATTTGGATGACCTTGAAAACTGGAGTAATAGAAATGGGATGAAATGTAATAGTGCAAAGTGCAAGGTCATGCACTTAGGGACTAACAGCGAGAATTGTTGCTGTAAGCTGGGAATGGATCAATTGGAAGCCACCGAGGAGGAGAAAGCCCTGGGTGTATTGGTCTTGGGGTGGAGTCCGGACTCTAGGACCCTGTGAGGTGAGATGGTCCCAGAGCTCAGGCTCTGCGCCCAGAAGTCTACGCTGCAATTAAACAGCCCTGCGAGCCCAAGTCAGCTGCACGGGCCAGCCGCGGGTGTCTGATTGCAGTGTAGACTGGCCCTATGAGTCTGAGACAGCCTGGGGGGTAACCAGAGGCCCTGCCCTAGGGCTGGGCTATATTAACAGGAACGCGAGCGAGCGAGAGGGAAGCAGAAGCCGGCAGCTGCAGTGGGTGGGCATTGTTTCATCAAGCAGAGCAGGCTAACCAGAGCCTTTGCCCCGAGGTGAGCCCTAGACACCACTGTGAGGCTGCCGAGCTTTTTGCTGGAATTCTGGGTCCCACCCCCACTCTTCCTCTTCTCCCAAGGTGCAATCCAGGCTCTGCTTCCAGGTGTCCTGCTGAGGGGGAGCGTGCAGTGTCCCTGCTGCTCCATGGGCTGGGTGCCAGGGGCAGCTGGGAAATAACTCGGGCTGCTTCCCCTTCACCTCAGCAATTGCCAGGGGTCTGGATTCACTCTACAGGTCAGCATCCACCTCCTGCTTTGCCCCTTGCCACCGTAAGTCGAGACTGGCCTGTCATGTCCCTGCACCACATCTGAGGGCATCAGAGCCAAGGAGGAGTGGGGGCAGATGCCAGTCGGGTGAGGGTTGAGAATGGTACGAGCTGTGCAGAGGCTCACGGGTCGCCGTGGGGGTAGGGGAGGTATGTTAAGTGTATTTCTACTGGACATCCCAGGCACTCAGGTCTCTCAGAGGCTGAACTCACCAGAGCTCCTGGACTGTGCGTCGAGAGCTGGAGGGATTTGATGGGGATTTGCTCTCCCAGCTGAGCTGCCTGGCTGTTACCCTTGTACTTTGTTGCCCCCTCCCCCGCCCCCAGTGCTTGGGAGAGGGCCAGGGCTGAGCTGGCCCTTGGCACTGACTGGCATGCGCCCGCTGCTACTCTGTGCCTTGCCGTCTTCCGTTGTGGTAAATGCAGAATTGGGGAGCTGAGCTTTAGGAAATCTCATTTCTGTTTCCAAAATCAACCGCGCGGCAGCTAACGCTGCCTGGGCCGAGACCCTTCTCCTCCATTTGGGGTCTTTGTCTTCTCAGCCCAGGGGCAGTTGAGGCAGAGGGACTGAATGGAGCGGGATAAGGTCAGGGAGGCAGGTGGGTCCCTCCGTGTGTGGGAGCCCTACCCGGGAGTGCCGGCCGTATGCTGCAGATAGCTTGGGGCTGAGCCTTCACGCCCCTCACTTGCAGAGAGGATGAATGCTGCGCTTAGACCGCGCACCAGGGCCCTGCGGAGCGACTCCCCCTCCTGGCCTGTGCAGCTGCTGGGAGCATCTGCTTGGCACCGTTCTTTAGAGGGCGCGGGGCGGTCTGACCAATCAAGTCTTGAGTCTTCTCTAATCCATCTCCTCCCCAATTCCAGGCTGACATCAGATCCAGAGAGTACATCCGGAAGCACCTGTCCTCCCCGCTGGGGGGCACGTCTCCTGGGCCAGGGAGGTAGGTGTGTGGGTGGTCTAAGCAACCGCACGTCCAGAGGGGATCTGCTCATGTAATGCTCTTGGGTAATTGCATTAAAGGGACATTCGGGGTAACAAGGCGGGATAAAGGGCAGCAGGGCGCATGCTGCCCCCGCGGAGCAGGAGATTTCTGATGGGTGCCGTCTGTGCTGCACCATGTGTTCCCGCCGAAGGGGCAGCGTCCTGGGCTGGCTGGACCATGAGACTGTGGAAGGTCACTGGGGATTTTGTCTGTTTCCGGTGTACATGATAAGCAAAGTGCTAAGGCCCCTGTGTGTGATGTGAGGGTGGACAAAAATACCCTGCGAGGAGCTGGCCTCTGTACCTGAATGCATAAAGAAAGGGCCAGGCCACCTCATTCTGTTGTAATGCAGGGCTGGATTCTGCCCTGGTATGTTGGTGTAAATCCAGAGAAACCCCTCTGGGGTCTCTGGGATTTCACTGGTGTCGATCCGGAATAAGTGAGATTCTCTAAATCATTCTCTTTATATCAACCCCCTGTCCCTCCAGGCCCTTTTTATTTCACTGTAGAGGCAACATGTTCAGCACAGTTCCTGGCAGCTCAGAGCTGGATTCTCTCAGTCCTACAGTCACCTGCGCAAACAAGGGGCTGGAGAGATACAGGACAATAAAACGGAATGAAGATTAGCCTGGTTAGTGATGGGCAAATTGCTCCCAGGTCTCCCAGGCTGATCTGCCCTAGAGGGGATCGTAAGGACCAGAGCAGAGCTGGGTGCGGCGTGGAGGTTGGTGCTGGTTAATGTGAGGCTCTGATACTGCTGATCGGAGGCAGCAGGTGTGATGGGGGGAGGCGATGTTCAGAACTCGCAGGAACAACTCTAGCTGTGCACCACAGCCTGCTTCGCTGCCCAGCTCTTGCCATGCCTGGCACCGCCCCACAGCTCTGCAATGCACCATACCAGCACTGCCTGCTAGAGATCCCCACATCCACGGCTTGGCTGATGCCCCTCAATCCCGACTTGCAGCACCTTCCTGCTGGGCCAGTCCTGGGCAGATGCTGACAGTCCCATTGAATGCATGCCCCAAGTTGAGACCCCAAACTCATGGCATGAGATATCAGCACCAGTGTCTGAAGCTGGTGCCCCAGAGTTCCTGTACCTCCAGCTCCAGTTCCCAGAGTAGCAGGGAGTTACTTAGGTTGGTTTGGCTTTTTTTATTCTTCGTGACCTTTCCTTGTTCTTGTTCCAGGAAGGAAGAGGCTGAGCCCAAGCATTAATTTGGCCCCAGGAAGACACTGCCCAGCCCCAGTGTGAACTTGAGCCTTCCACCCCCTCTGGGATCAGAGCTCCGAGAAGTCTCTACAGGGCACCGTGACTGACCGTCCACGCCAGGAACTCAGGGTACTTCATGAGGTGAAACGCCAGGATGACCAGAGATAAGGCAGGAGACGGCTTCCCCCTGGGCTCTGCTAATGGGGCAGGAGCCCCAGTCTTTGATGGTTTGTAAACTCTAGAGAATGTTTTATATTCCAATTTTGAAAACACACGCTGTAAAAATAAATTCTCCCCAGCACTCATACACTACCAAAGCAGTGTTTGGGAGTCAAGGGAGGGATTATTTGCGGCAAGACTGTGAGAATTCACTTTGGGGGGTTCTTAACAAACGAGTTAAAAACAACGTGAAGCTCCCAGTTTGACACTGGCTTCTTGCCATCCCTTTAGCGACACAGTCTCATGGGCTCCCTGCTCCCCATCCTCCTTTTACCCTTTCCTCCCCCCTCCTCCAGCCTGTGGGATTGTGTCACTTCACACATCTCAAGGGAACAGAAGCCCAGTAACTAGCTGCTGCTAGTCCTGACAGACGGGCAGAGGACTCTGTGTTTTGGGTGGGCGTGTAACTCGCAAGGGAGGTGCGGGAGCCAACAATCTGCTGCATGGTTTGGAGGAGGGGAGCTGCTAGGCTCTAAGGCCTGAATTCGGATCCCGGGAAGCAAACAGGCTCCCTGGTACACCAGTCATGCAGTCCTTGGTCCGTCAGGTCTCTGCCTGCTGTCAGTTACCGAACCTTATGCAAGAAATCAGTCCTCTGTGTAAACAGTGCTGCAGGTTTGTCAGTCCCCATGGGACCTGCATGGTGAGCCCTGCTGGGAGCAGCATGCACACAGCATGGCGTGTTGATTCACCTCGTTCTACCGACCCTCCTCACAGCCAATGGCACAGGCCAACCCTTCCCAAAGAACCGAACAGAAGTGGCATTCCATAGCAAGGAGCCAGGTAACGCCTGGGCAAGGGGTCCGATAGCCTGAATGGAGATGCGGCATTGGGGTCAGGTTACTGGGACAGCTGCTTGCTGGCTAACGAGCTTGGACAGACACCAAGCAGCCTGTGAACCTTCGCATTGGCTACCAAACAAAGTCCGGTTGGTGGAGTTGGGAGCCTCTCCCTGTAGGGCTGGGTTCAGGGGTTGGATTCAGCAGTTTGGTGGGATCCACAAAGTCCCATGTTTAGGCACTACTGGAATTCACAAACTCCCCCACAGCTGCTGCCAAACACTGCAGGTGCCTCAGCTCGCTCAGCGCAGAAGGTTTTGCAGTAAAAGTTCCCTTGTTGCCTGTTTCTGCTGCTAAACAGCCTGCACCCATCTCTGGAGGCACCCAGAGTGAGTCAGGAACCAGGGGAAGATGGCTGGCTGGCTGGCTGCTGCCCAAGTCACAGGCAGGGCCTGATCTGGTCAGTGTGCTCAGAGGCTGTCTGACTCCACAAAACAACCGGGCCGGGCCTCCTCTATAACCTTTAGCCTAGTGGTTAGGCACTCCCCTGAGATGGAGACGACCCCCAGTTCAGGTCCCCCTCAGTGTTGTTCCTCTCATGCAAAGCTGTCTTCAGGAAATGTCCCCACAGGTGTTTTTACATCCAAGGGAAGGAAGTGGGAGTTCTCTAGTGGTTGGGGGGTCAGAACTCCTGGGTTCTGTTCCACACTTGGCAGTGCACGTTTACCCTGCTAGCGTTCTTTGTCGTTCTTTTCTCTCTCCAGCCGGGCTGTTTTAATAAAGCACAATCCAGCCTCTTCTCTGGGTGAGTGCAGCACCCAGCACGTGGGGCCCTGGCTTACTTACCCTGTTAGCGCTGCCCCATTAAGACGAGAGAGAGCAAACTCCTTTCTTCTCCCCAGGAGCCTGGGCTAGGGTGACCAGACGTCCCATTTTTAAAGGGACGGTCCCATATTTAGGCCCTCCTGCAGGGGTCCTGACTTTTTCTTAAAAACTGGCAAATTGTCCCATATTTTCTCTCCTCCCCCACCCCCATCAGTACTGGTGGGTCCTGCTGCTGGCCGAATCCCTGCTCGCCCACCTCCTGCCCACCGGCAGTGAGTGGGGGGTCCAGTGGCCGACGATGGGGGTGGGTATGCAAGGCTGGTGGTGGGGCAAAGCTGCAGCATACGGGGACGGGACGCTCCCGCTGCTGGTGCATGCCAGCCCCCTCTTCCCCCGCTCCCACCCTTCAGAGCCAGGCTGGACTCCTTTGATCATGGTGACATGTGTGGGCACAGAGGGGCCAGCAGACAGAGAAGGAAAGAGGGTGGCATTTGATTTCGTGTCTGAGCCCATCGCAAGGGGGTGGGTGGGGGAAGCACCAGGAGGAGCGCTGGCTGCAGGCTGTGCAAGTCCTCCCAAGCCACGCATGCAGCTCCACTCCTCCTCCGACAGGTGCAGTACCAGCTCTGACACCGCCATGTCCCCAGGGAACAGCCCCCCGGACAGCTCCCCCTGAAAGCCCAGAACCAGTGCTGAATGCCAGCTTGAGAAGCCAATGAACAAACACGCCACCACTCGCCTCCCCTGCTGCCGCCTCCTCGCTGATCCGCCACTGAACAAACTGTGACAAGACCCAGAGCTGTCAGGGGTCCAAGAGCTAAAGGCCATGCAGCCGGCAGGGCCACCTGTGCGCCTCTAATGCCAGCCAAAGCCATTGCTCAGATCTCACAGGTGTGGAGGGGGGGCGGAGGGGGTGGAGAACTTGACAGTGACTCATCATCGGAGTGGCTGGGGAGGGGAGCGGCTGCAGCTCACACACAGTTACAAGGGAGGATTATTAGGAGTGTAATTAGCATCGGTGGAGATCTCTCTGTGCAACGGCAAAGTCAATCGGGCTTAACTAGCGAGTGCCAGCTGTGCACAGCTGTTGGCATGCCAGTGCTGCCAGATGGGGAGCTCACCCCATGGGCTAGATCCAGCCAGCGACCCACCCACATTCTTTTCTTGTTGCCCATCACTATGAAATCTGAGTGCCTTTCCCCAAGGTGCATCAGACCCGTTTGAAGGAAAGTCTACAGCACAGCAAAGAAAGGGGCTGGTTGGTTTCCCCGCCCTGCTCTGCTTTAGGCCCTGGACTGAAGATGGGAAGGGCTGGAGAAGAGTGAGGCATTGTTCAGGCCTCCCTGTGTACACTGGGTTGACAGCTCTGAAGCAGGAAGCAACCAGCTCTTGACACCCCCCCCCCCCAAGTCTGGCTGTGTCCTGGGCATTTAGCAGAGGGTGAGCAGTGAGGGCGTTTCTTAGGTCCCCTCCTTGCATTTCTCATGGGAGTTGCAATGTGCTGCCCATGCACCATCTCGTCATGGACGCGGCCATGGGGGCATTTCAGCCCCAGTACAATACAATACGCATCCCATTCAAAGTCAATGGGACATGTGCTCCTAAACCCCTTAGGCAGGATACTAATGGAGTTTACTTTGGCCCTCATTTGCTAGTTCCCCCTGGGCCAGCCCTGCCAGCATGCTGAGCTTTTCCTCACTCAGGAACCACAGAGTGTGTGAGATCCCAGGTGCTTCTCCCCAGCTCTGCTTCATCCCAGCATTTCATTGTACAGTAATCTCCATGGTGATTATTCTCTTCACTTGGACCAGCTATGCAGGAGCCAGAGAACACCAGGAGAGAAACCAGGAGTCACTCAGGGTGAGCCAGGTGCACTGGGTGGGGGGAGGAGGACCCTGGAAATAGCCCTTGTAGATTAATACTGTGATTGCAACAGCTGGGCCCCTCCCTGTAAATCACCCCTTAGAAAGTTGCTTTGCTGCCAGCCTTTGCCTGTAACTTCCTATCAGATGGTGGAACCGCAGGTCTCCCCAGCCTGACGACCCCAGAGGAACGAGTGAGTGTCTGAAAGCTGCAGTAGTTCGGGGTCTCCCAGCACCTGCAATGTAACCCCCCATGGGACGGGGAACAGGCCCTGCAGGGAGAGGGCACGTGACCTGCTCCTGGGCAGTGTGATGGGCTTGCTGGGGAATCCAGCCTCAGGGAATGGAACTGGGCTCAGCTGGAGCTAATGTCTCAGCAGGGCAGGACCGTGAAAATCCCTCTGCTCTGGGAGTCTTCCCTCAGCTGGGTTCATCCCCAGCATCACACAAGGGCCTGCTGAGCCCCTCAGCTGGGTCCCAGGCTAATGAACCCTGGGCTGCTGCCTGTGGGCCAGCTGCATTGCTCTGGAGTCAGGTGGGGGAGCTAAGGTCTCCATGCTGATGTGCTCAGAGCTGTGAGTCTGCTCCCTGAAAGGGAACTGCCCCTTCACCACTTGCCCCCAGCTCCCTGCTATCTTGGGGGCAGCTGAATTCCCGGGAGTCAGGTGATGTTCGGTTAACGCCCCCTCTCTAAGATTGGATTGAGTTGGATCCCCAGCCTTGTCCCTTGGGCCGAGATGCTGCAGTTGTCTCTGAAGCGCTAACGGTGTGAGTGTCTCCCCCGCCCCATAACTGGGGTGGGGCAGTTCGGTTCTGTACCTGTGCTGGGCAGTAGTTCTTTCAGCTGCCAAAGCCTGAGAGAGGTTAAACGAATCAGATCCTCAGTGGGAAAATCTCTGTGTTTGGCCACTGCTTCTGGCCCTCTGAACGCAGTGGGAGATTATCCAGGTCTTTGTCTAATTGGTTTATAAACTAGGGAATTTAACTTCAGTATCCGGAAAGATAATGGAGCAAAGAATCAAGCAATCAATTTACAAACACCTAGAAGATAATCAGGTGATAAGTAACAGCATGGATTTGTCAAGAACAAATGTCAAACCAACTTGATAGCTTTCTTTGACAGGGTAACAAGCCCTGTGAATTGGGGGGGGAGGGGGGAAGCAGTAGACATGGTATATCTTGACTTTAGTAAGGCTTTTGATACTGTCTTGCATGATCGTCTCATAAACAAACTAGGGAAATGCAACCTAGATGGAGCTACTATAAGGTGGGTGCAAAACTGGTTGGAAAACCGTTCCCAGAGAGTAGTTGTCAGTGGTTCACAGTCATGCTGGAAGTCCCATAGGTATCGGTCCTGGGTTCTGTTCTGTTCAATATCTTCATCAATGATTTAGATAATGGCATAGAGCAAACACTTATAAGGTTTGCAGGCAATACCAAGCGGGGAGGGGTTGCAAGTGCCTTGCAGGACAGGATTAAAATTCAAAATGATCTGGACAAACTGGAGAAATGGTCTGAAGTCAATAGGACGAAATCAATAAGGCCAAATGCAAAGTACTCCATTTAGGAATGAACAATCAGTTGCACACATACAAAATGGGAAATGACTGCCTAGGAAG